CAGACATATTTGTTCACGTATCGATTCTGTATTTGAAGCTATATCGAAATATATTTTTTAAAAAAGAAAAACTAAAAATTGCATTAGCTATTACTTTCATGAGAAGAAGTACCAATAATCAATTAAATCATTTAAAATTACTTTTACTTTATTTATATAATTTTATCTATTATTTTTTTAACTACCAAAGTTGTTTTATTCAATGTAATTTCTCACAGTTCGTAAAACAAAAATTTTAAGTCGATTGATTTAAATAATATCCACACAATCAATTTTAGAGTTAAATAAATTTCGCTTAAATACACGCTTTTCTCTCCAACTTCTTACTTCTTTGTACGAAATAAAGGAAGTACTGTAATCGCGAAAAAATTCGGGTACTTTATTTCAACGGAAATATCTGTTTTGACAGTTCTCGAATCAATTCGGACGATTTTTTTGCGTGACGTCTGTATAGGTCAGGGCCTGATATAACGTATTGCATAATGTATTCTCCAGAGTAAAGTTTCATCTGTAATTACTATATCATCTAATAACAAATTTAATATCTACAGTGTGCCTGCATGCTTTATGTATGTTTATTTGCGCATTTTACTGTGATATGTATCTGAAATGTGTCTTTAGGGTAAGGGTCTAATATATTGCTTAAAATGTTTCATTATAAGTAGTGTTTACTGTATAAGTGTGTGCAAACTAGTATCTATTTCTATTTTTAATATGTGCTTACATGTTTTATATGTGTTATATATGTGCTTTTATATGCGTTTACAAGTGTTTTGTATGATCTTTATATGTGCAATTGTATGTACTTGTATGTGTATGTATATGCTGTAATTAGTGTCTAACAGTGTCTAAAAAACCAAGATAACAAATCATCCGCCTATCGATCAAAACTAATTATTCCTAAGACGCCTCTGTATGGCCATGTACAATTACGTAAAATTCTTCAATAAACTCCCAAGTGGCCTCAGGCTCCTGGGGTTGCTGCCACTAGATAGGGGAGGGCGCGGGACATATGCCTGTTTACCTCTGTTAAACATCAGGCGTCCCCGTCCTCCGTCACCTGTCACCTGTATAGGTCAGGGTCCACTCCTTCCTCAACAGCACTGTACGTACAAACAGAATAAAGGTCTGTCTTTTATAAAGCGGAATGCAAAATGGATACAAAAGGGATTTTTTGCGACATCTGTACGTACGTATATATGTATCTATCTCATATAACTGAAAAACGATTCGCCGTACAACGTTGAAATTTCGTATGTGGGACTACTATAACATCTAGTTGTGCACTTCCCTCTTTTATTACGATTAGAACCAAACTCTCTCCCCCTCTCTCTCTCTTTCTATATATATATATATATATACACATACCGAGTTACCCTTACCCGAATTAACAGTGTAACCTTTATTTTCGCAACTGTTTGTTGTAGTCATATACGTCCAGTTACAGAAGTGTTTTAAATCACGAAATAATACTCACGTTTTGTCAACGTCAAATTAAAAAAAAAAATTAGACAAATAACGAAATCTAACTTTTAATGCGGTCTCGCAGTTTCTATACACATATTTAGGAAAACAGTTATGTGGTGTCCACATTAGATATTTGCAATTTTAATGTTAGTAATATATGTGTAACATTTGTTTGCACTTTCGCTGCTCTGTTCACGCATACTCCACTCGCACGTTTCGTTAGAATTATTACTATTCTTTCTGAAACAACGTCTGTCTTTCTGTGAAAATTATTATAAGCTGAGAAACAAATTCATTGACTTTTTTTTTTGTGTGAATTTTCACATACAGATAATTTGAAATTTTTAAGAGGAGCATGAGAACTAATTATCTTAATATTGAATTACTCATAACACTAGAAACATGACGAAAATTACAATTTCGCCACTTAGAAATTTATAAACGTCCGAATCGGTGTCTAGATGCTTTGGAAGTCAAATAAATAACTTCCACGTCTGCAAGGAATGTTGCCGCCATAACGAGCTAAAAATATTTTTACTTTTTTCCGGTCCGCAGGTCGTTAACGGGGAAATAACGCAATAAATAATACCTCATTAGCATTGTTAAAAACGCTTTTCTGCGGTCAGGGAATAATTGCTAAACCTTTTGGCTGCCGAACCACAATTCTTCGTACAATTTTTAAGCACTCTTCGTTAAAATTTTCACATAATTCCGGAAAAAAGAATGCTTTATTTGTAGCCGATGTTTTTTTCATTAACATTTTTTTATCTGCATATTAAAATAAATATTGATTATCTCGAATAATAATACGTAAGTACCTCGATATTTAGCCACTTTCACGTAAAAATATCTTCAATAATAAAAATATATCTACACTTATTCTTTCTTTCTCTTACAAGCACAACAGTCTGTTCCAGACCTAAGGCTTTACACGTATTCTTTCTTTTTACAAGCGCAACAGCCTCTTCCACGTCTAAAGCCATCTCAACCATGCGCTTCTTCCAGCGTGTTCCATCTGCAACGACTAGTCAGCAATTTTTAATTTTCAAAGTTTTTAAGTCTTTTCCAATGTCATCTAACCATCCAGTAGGATCCATGAGGTTTCTTTAACGGCAAGATCTTAGTGGGATTATCTTCCGGGCTTCTCCAAACATGGTCCAACCATCTTAATCTATAACATATCTTATTTGCGGTTGCCCATAAAGCCTGGACAATTCAAAGTTATATCTTGCTCTCTAAGTTCCTCTTCCTGTACTGGGCCAAAAATTGCTCTGAAGAATTTTCTCTCGTACATGGTACAGTGAGCGTTGTAAGTCTTTATTTAAAAAGTATGTTTCACATAAAGACAAGGTCGCATTAGTGTCTTATATATAATAGTTTGTTGCGAGACTTTAAATTAGATCTAAAGTGTCTTCTACTGGGATCGTAACATATCGATTGACTTTCCACTGAAGCCATTTTTTTTTTTTTTCCTTTTTGCTTTTACAGTTCGAAATTAAACTCGTATGTTTTATCGATCATGTCACTTACTAGACACTAGACTAATCAAAATTAAAATTTCTAACGGTTTTCCATTTTCGAGATTTCCTTTTTAAGTTGTTTAAAGGACTACCTCTTTAATTCTTAACAGAGTCTACAGTTTGAATTTTTCTTTTTTACTTTTCAAATGGTAAAATTTTACAACTTGTTTTGAAAAAGTATCATATTTCTCTTTTTCAATTTTATTGTGTTAGAAAGCTAAGACAAAAGGGAAAGAGATAATTCAAAGAGACTCTTATTTCTACTAATTCATTGATTAAGTAATACGCTTTCGAGTCTCAGTGATTAATTGTAACGAAATTTACCTTGGCTCTCTTATTAATCGACCAATTGGAGCTTCTAAACTCTTTTCCCTTGACAAGTTCTGTTATGAAGCTCCAAACAGGGGAGATTAATATTGCAACATGCTTCTTCCTGTTTATGTCTTATCGATTTTACTTTTGTGTAGTTAAATGTTTTAATTTCCTGGGTAAAATTCATGTCTTCTTACTGATGAGTTGGATCTAACATTATTGAAGTAACTAGCGGGCAAGCCCGCCAGCTGAGCGGGCTGAAGCCCGCTGTTATTGGCCTTTATTCGCAAGTTGGACAGCCCGTTCGCCGGGATCGAAAGTTGGAGCGAACTACCAGTGTTCAGCGGTTTTGCGCTTGCTGCTCCCGCTTTATTCACATACGCATCCTGAAGACACTGCATACACGATACACATGCCGAAAATCACGAAAACACTCATGCAGCCAGCCCGCTCGCCGGAATTCGAAAGTTGGACCGAACTACCAGTGTTCGGCGGTTTTTCGTGGGCTGCGCCCGCTTTGGTCACATATGCATTCAGAAGATACTGCTTACTAGATACGCATGCGGAAAATCACGAAAAAACGCATGGAGCCAGCCCATACGATTGGATTCGAAATTTGGTCCGAACTACCAGTGTTCTCCACCCACTTTATTCACGTATGCATCCACAAGATACTTCATAAACGTTACACATCCGGAAAATCACGAAAAACATTCATACAGGCAGCCCATTACCTGGTATTCGAAAGTTTGACCAAACTACCAGTGTTCAACGGTTTTGTGCGGGCTGCGTCTGCCTTATTCATAAATGAATCCATAAGGTACTGCATATACATTACACATGAGTAAAATCACGTGAACACCCATGGTGGCGGCCTGCTCGTCGGATTCGAAATTGGACTGAACTGCCAGCGTACAGCGGTTTTGGGCGGGCTGCGCCCGCTTTATTCGCTTATGCATACAGGACATACCGCATACACAATACACATGACTAAAATCACGAAAAAATCTATGGAGGCATTCCGTTCAGCGGGATTCCAAAGTTGGACCGAACTACCAGTGTACATCGATTTTACCTGGGCTGCTCCCGCCTTATTAACATATGCATGCATAAGATACTGCATACACGATACACATGCGGAAAATCACGAAAACACCTCATTGCAGCCAGCCAGTGTTCGCCGAAATTCGAAATTTGGACCGAACTACCAGTGTTCACATGGTTTTGCGCGGGCTGCGCCCGCTTTATTCCACGTATGCATGCACAGAAGATACTGCATACACTATACACATAACCGGAAAATCACGAAAACCCCCTGCAGCCAGCCCGTTCGCCGGGATTCGAAAGTTGACCGAACTACCAGTGTTCAGTGACTTTATCGCTCAGCCGCGAATGGGCCGTTGTAGAAAGTGTAATCGCGAAAATTTTCGCATTTATTATTAAAACAGTAGAGATTCGTTATTAAAATTCTTTTTACTTTATAAACTTCAATATGATCACACGCAAAACTGTATCAATATATACATTAATGAAATTAATAATTCATAATTAATTATAATAAGAAAGGTTTTCCTATACCATCTCCAAGAAAAAACATATTCAATTTAAATCCCTGAACGAAAAGAATTTTTTTTTTTTTTTAGTGAAAATTTAAATTAGTAGTTTACATAGTAATTTCAACTTCTTCTTTAAATGTCTGCATAGAAAATTTTTTGAAATAACGTGGGAATTATCCTAACCTGAAATAAAAAAAAAATTGCATAAAGCAGCTGTTTATTTAAAATACTGTAGAACTTCAAGAACGTCAGCATTTAAATTTAATGTAATATAACAACTTTTACACAATATCGATAAAAGAAATAACGTGGCAATAACATATCGTGGTAATTATCCTAACCTGAAATAAAAAAAATTGCAAAAAGCAGCTATTTTATTTAAAATACCTATATTAACAAAATATTTTCAAACTACAGTGAGATAACTTGCAATCGCGTGCTTTGTTTAACCTCAGAATATAACCTTGGTTTTTATCTGCGGCGATTCAAGAACTCTTGCAATCGGAAAAATGAGCGCGAAAATTAGCGTATTCAGTTTTTAATTAATATCTCAGCTGATTAAAGTCGTACGAAGATGAAAATGGTATCAATGGATTAAGAGAATTTTTTGCAATCCGGCAATACCTGTCTCGAATTCCAACTCAGCGCCGTTCCAAAGTTATTTGGAAAAAAAAGAATTTGACACGTGACCTTTTAACCAACACAAATCTCGAGCGGAAGCAATTGTCCCCCCCGGCGCTTTCGAAAAAGCAATTTTATCTCAGCTAATTCCGAGACTGTTGCCACTCCGAAAAATGAAATAGCGTTTTCGCAGTTTTTAATTAATAACTCCGCCGATTATTGTCGCACGAAGATGAAACCGGTATTGATGGATTCGTTGATTTTTTTCGAATACGGGGATATGCGTTTCGAATCGCAACTCGGAGCCGTTCCGGAGGAGATATCGAGCGAGAAAAACGATTTTGGCACGCGGCCAAATCCCTAAAACAGGGAACATCCCTGAAAAAAGTGCAAAACGTAGGGAAATGTAGGGGAAAAATCAGTTTTTAATTAATATCTCGGCTAATTAAAGTCGCACGAAGATGCCGATGGTCAATCCGGCGAGCCACGGGCATTCCGCATCCAACGGTACCTTCCGCTAAGCTCTACACCCAGCCGTTCCGGAGGAGATGATGTTACAAACACACAAACAAACAGACAGAGGCACACAGATTTTAATAGTCTCGTACATGGTACAGTGAGCGTTGTAAGTCTTTATTTAAAGTCTATGTTTCACTTGCATAAAGTAAAACAGGTAGCATTAGTGTCTTATATATTAATAGTTTTGTTGCGAGACTTTATAAGATTAGATCTCAAGTGTCTTCTACTGGATCGTAACATATCGATTTGACTTTACACTGAAGCCACTTTTTTTTTTTTTTCCCTTTTGCTTTTTACAGTTCGAAATTTAAACTCGTTATGTTTTATCGATCATTCACTTACTAGACACTAGACTAATCAAAATTAAAATTTTCTAACGGTTTTCCTTCCCATTTTTCGAGATTTCCTTTTTTAAGTTGTTTACAGGACTACCTCTTTTAATTCTTTAACAGAGTCTACAGTTTGAATTTTTCTTTTTTACTTTTCAAATGGTAAAATTTTTACAACTTGTTTTTGAAAAATGTATCATATTTCTCTTTTCAATTTTATTGTGTTAGAAAGCTAAGACAAACAGGGAAAAGAGATAATTCAAAGAGACTCTTATTTCTACTAATTCATTGATTAAGTAATACGCTTTCGAGTCTCAGTGAATTAATTGTAACGAAATTTACCTTGGCTCTCTTATTAATCGACCAATTATGGAGCTTCTAAACTCTTTTCCCTTGACAAGTTCTGTTATGAAGCTCCAAACAGGGGAGATTAATTATTGCAACATGCCTTTCTTCCTTGTTTATGTCTTAGTATCTTAGATTTTTACTTTTGTGTAGTTAAATGTTTTAATTTCCTGGGTAAAATTCATGTCTTCTTACTGATGAGTTGGATCTAACATTATTGAAGTAATTAAATTTAGTAGCACTTTGCGCTAATTTCTTACTTTAAGTACATACGTACTTCCTTTTTACCTCGTTGATTGCTTATATTTTCTTAGCCCAAAGAAGCATTCATAAGCAATTTTCATTTTATTATCTATTTATGCTGTTAAATTAACTTTGTCATTAAATATAGTGCCAAGGTATTTAAATTCCTCAACCTTTTGAAAAATAACGCCGTTAATGCACATTGGGTTGGATAATTTACCAACCCAATGTGCAATCAATTATTCTTTACAATGTAAATATAATGTCCTTTGGGAAATCTGGAGGTTCCAATACAGACCAAATTGATTACTTTTCTTGTGCCAAATGAAATTTACTTAAAACATAAGTTTAGTTAGTCAAACTTGTAGAGTACCTCACTTTGGAATTCTAATTAAGTTAATGTTGGAAGTGAGGAATCTAAGAACTGATAAGCGAATAATCTCTTGCGTTCGGTGACAAGAAACAACAAGGGTAACTAACCCTTTATTATTCCAATAAGATTTAACAAAACTCCGCCTGGGAGTGTACAAGCAAAGCCCGCACTTGGACTTGAGCTAAAAAGACTAAGAATTAAACTAAAACTAAGATTAACTAAAAGAAGTATAGCCGAAGCTATAAAGGTTCAATTTGAGTTGGCCCCTTAACTTTATTTTACTACGAAGCTTAGCAAGGGCCTGAGTACGGCCGAGCGTAATAACAGCTTTGAGAGAGAGAGTGACCAAAAAGGCAGACGCGTGTAAATCAGAAACTCTGATTCTCTCTGCCTCAGTAAGTAACTTCGTGGTTTAAATACCGCTCCTCCTCATTAAATATTCAGCAAATTCCAAAACTACGCTCTGGCCGGAAGTAGCAGGTTGAAGTTAAGAATTTGACAGGAAAGGAACTTTAACTTAAAATTTAACTGTTAATAAAATTAATATAATCCTTACAAACTAATTTAAGCAATTTGAATCTTAAATTTTTCTCTCCATAATATTCTTTAAAACTTCATAAAATTTCGTTTCATTCACGGTAAAATTTATTTATGCATCTTCAGATAAATAAATAAACTTGGCCTGTACTAATAATGTTTAGACGAAAGTAACGGCTTCCACCAAATCTTGCGATATTTTCTATGAACTGGATTTACATATTTAACTATGGCAACGTGAAATTAATTTTGAGCGATTACAACGTCTATCTTTGTTTAACGAAACATTAACGATGACCGATGCTTATACATTTAAAAATTGCAATTATGTTACAATAAGAATTAGCATGCTACAGAAAATTCTGTAGGCAAAAATTTTAATACGGCTTACCAGTATTTTTCAGACATTATATGACAAATTTTGTCACATTTCAGTTCAATAAAAATGATTGTTTTAACAAACGAATGATTTTTAGTAGCATAAAAATGATTGTTTTAACAAACGAATGATTTTTAGTAGCATAAAAATGATTGTTTTAACAAACGAATGATTTTTAGTAGCATAAAAATGATTGTTTTAACAAACGAATGATTTTTAGTAGCATAAAAATGATTGTTTTAACAAACGAATGATTTTTAGTAGCATAAAAATGATTGTTTTAACAAACGAATGATTTTTAGTAGCATAAAAATGATTGTTTTAACAAACGAATGATTTTTAGTAGCATAAAAATGATTGTTTTAACAAACGAATGATTTTAGTAGCATAAAATATTGTTTTAACAAACGAATGATTTTTAGTAGCATAAAAATGATTGTTTTAACAAACGAATGATTTTTAGTAGCATAAAAATGATTGTTTTAACAAACTTTGGTAAAAGCAATGCACTGAATGTTCGAAAAAAGTAGCTCCTTATTCCCCCTCCCCCACACACTTTTTACCCTATACGTGCATTTTTAATCGCAGATTTTCTCAAAGGACGATAATTTTATGGGAATATTCAGCTCTGAAATTTTGTATAACCTAATTTTTTGAATGCTCCGTAAAACAAACATTTGAGTGACGATACGTCCATTACGCTTTTAATAATTAAAACATAAATAGTTTCATACTTCTGTACGTTAAATTTGTGAGAATATCAGTACTCAATAGTTTCATGGGGTCAGGTGTAAAATTAATTACAAGCGCTGTTTTACCGAAATAATCATTAATAGGGGGGAATGCTTTGGAATTTTACCTCAAATCCATTAGAAATTGCTTAGCAATGCGTTCTGAAACGTGATCTAAATCGGTAAATTTTAAATCTTTCCAAATTTTCCACGTAAAGGTAAGGGGGAATGTGCATCAATAAATTCAATAATTTATTAAGGTGAACAGCCACTAGGTTATTTTGTAGCAGGAGACGTGAAAAATGTGCAGAGCCCTCGTGAATCTAGAATCTCTCGAATACGCGTCAAGTGTGCATCCAATTACACCACGAAGGCATGCGATAGGAGAAATACCTTATAAAGGCCTAATGAACGTTTCGTTAACTAAGCTTTTTAATCTGTGGGGAAACCACATAAAATTAAAATTTTATATTTATACAGTCCCATTTCTGTACATTTACATAGAATACTCTCCTCATTCCGTGTTTAGTTTTAGATACTTTTCAAATGGACGTACATATCTCGAAACAATTATTGAAAAAGCTTTTAAATGCCTTTTTGGGAGCTCCAGTTGTCCCAGGCCCGAAAAATTATCAATCTTTCTTATTCTACATGGCGGAAAAAAGAAATATTCAATGCACAGCACAAGAAATTTTAAGCAAATTACAAGAAATACATAGTGTACAGAAAATCTCCAGAAAGAAATATCTAAGTAAATTTAATCAGAACTTAAGCATCTGCCGTTATAAGCCTTAGAATACGGGATCACAATGCTGTCTTAAAAATGGAGACTGTTACAGAAAGTACGGAACGAAGTAAATTCTGTTAAAATGAGCTTCTCAGTGCTTCAAGAAACCGGCTGCACGTTGTTCGTCTTGTGGAAATACTATATTAAAAATTAATCGGATGTCAAATTTCTGTGATCTTCTCAATCTTAACTGTCGAAGCTGTTACACTTAACTTGTAACTACAAGAAAAACACTACACTAAAACAAAGTGCTCCTAAGACCATTCAATATGCATCTGAACACAAGTTTTATCCTTAACCTTATTCAAAGAAAGAAAGA